CCCTCTACCAATAAAAAAAAAATCAAAAAGCAAAATGTTTACTTTTTTTTGTTTTTTATACGTTGCACATTAATATAAAAGATGTACAATTAAAGACGGAAGAAATAATTTTTTTTTTCATTAAGTTTCCAAGGTACAGCACTTTAAAGAAAGGTATGTATGACGTTTGCTTAAAATGTAGGTCCCGTGTAAATAGGCAACCCTACCCCATATCGGTAAATTATGCTGCACGTATATTCAGGCAATTCAGGAGTAAAGTCGACGTACGAAAACCAGTCTCTATAAGTCACTCATTATATCCGTGTTGGTATATGGTGCAGAAGCATTTATTTTTATTCATAGCATTTTATTTAAATCGATGAATAGTTTTGTATCAACATTTGTGAACCTCTGTTTATGTGTTTTTGTACAACATATTTACCTCCATTAGTTACAATATTTTTAAGCTATAATAAACAATTTTTTAGCAAGTAAGTTATTGGTTTTGAATTTAAATTTCGTTCTGGCTACGCGCATAGGTATATAGGTAATGGGCGAGTCCGCGCTTTCGCCCTTCTCCCCTGCGTCCACCTCAACAAACAAATAAAGCTTATCAGCCCTGTAAACCTACCTCTGGCAATTGTACCACCCGTAGCTGTCACGGGTGGGACATGCTTGACTGTTGAATTATTCTTATCTAACTATGTATGTGGAAACGAAAATGCAATTGGGGTAAACATTGACAACTTCTCTAATTAAAAATAACAACTTTTGTAATTAAAAAAAACAGCTTTTACCTTTTTTTGTCACGGGTGGGACAAGACCAATACTGCTTAATAATAACTCATAATATAGTTAAAGCACTAACACAATTCAATATATAAATAATACAATTTTATTAAACGCAGATGAGTTCACCTACATATTTTTAATTACCAAACACTTGAATTAAGAATCGCAAATTACTTGACAGTACTTTCCACACAACCTATTTGAAACTCACTCAAAAAATTAGCTTATTACTTGATTTTAAAACATAAAAAATGCATTTAAAGTCTTAATTTGTTATTCTTTGGTTGATTCAAGATTTGTATTCATGTCTTATCCACACATTTGTTAATTTTATTAAGAAAAACTTTTGTGCGCTGAGGTTCAGTTTCTCATGGAACCTCCCGTATACATATATATATGAACATACATACCTACATATAGTAGTAGTAAGCTAAGCACACATGTCTCTTACTTTTTAAACATTTTTCCAGTCCTACGAGACGTCAGCTACTGCGGTGTACTCGGTACTTGTGATGCTAGCGATGCATCCGGAAATTCAGGATCGTGTATTTGAAGAAGTTCGTTCTGTATTTCCAGACGAAGTCTCTTCAGTGGGGTACGACGATATGAAAAAATTTCCTTACTTGGATATGGTCATAGCAGAGACTTTGCGACTAGCTCCACCAATACCGTGCATTGGACGACAAACACTAAATGAAACCGAACTACGTCCCGGTGTAAGGATTCCCAAGGAAATGCAAGTTGTCATACCAATTTACGAATTGCATAGGCGCAAAGAGATTTGGGGCCCGGAAGCAGATCGTTTTAACCCCGACAACTTCCTACCTGAAAATATTGCAAAGCGTCATCCGTGTGCGTATATGGCTTTCTCAAAAGGACCGCGCAATTGCATAGGTAAATTAACAAGAAGCTATGTAAATCAATCAGTAATCAAACCAAATTTGTTCTGTTTGCATTAAAGGTTTCCGTTACGCAGAATTCACATTGCGCGTGTTGTTGATAACTTTACTCCGCAGTCTTAAATTCTCAACAACTTTTAAATATCATGATATTGTTTTCATGCCAAAAGTTACTTTGGGCTATGAAGTGGAGCCGCTATTAAGCATAGAAGTCAGAGCTTGAGGTGGATAGTCTTCATTCGATTTTAAATATAAGGATTAAAATATTAAATAAGAGGTTTATTTTTAATGGAACTACACTTTGTAAAATTTATTTAAATAGAAGCACAATAATATTTATAAACGAATTATTTTTTTTTTTACCAACGATGTGTAATATCAATAAGACTCCAACATACCGTGCATAATTGAAAATTGACTTTGTTAACAAAAAATTACACTTATTCCGCTATAGATTCAGGGGTCATAACGCAATTTATGTCCACATTGGTATAAGCAAATTTATTCTAAAAAATCGTCGTTTTGATTAATTAAAAAAATTAATTAAAGAGTAGGAAAAGTAAAGGCCGCTGAAGGCCGTTATAAAACCACTTGCATATTACTCTTTACACCTTCGAAAATGCAGAGGGTAAGTTCGAAAACCAAGTCTAACCAATTGGCTTAGATATTTACATTTTAGTGACGGTATGTCAAATCTCAAAATTCAAAAGTAATTAACAGGAATGTATCTGAATATAAATATAAGATCAGTGGCGGATCCACGGGGGAGAGGGGGGTTAGGTGTTAAAACAGAAAAATACTTGGAGTTATAAAACCTTTGGTTATGTAAGAGTTAAAAAAAATAGTACCTCGCGAATTTTCTGCTTTCTGAAATTAAAAGATTATACAACAGGCATGCAAATCTTTAAGCGCTGTTATAAAATTTTTTCTGAAATTTATTTGTGTTTCTTGCTGTGATCTTAAATTTTAGTCATGGTAAATAAAATCTTAAGAAGTGAGTTGTTTGACATTTGATGTTGCTGAAACTTCTAAAAGACAACAAGGTATCCGTGATTATGCGATTAGTAAATTGAAAGAAATATCTGATGAAAATGCTCGTTCCGAAGTAAATAAAGTAAATTAAGTAAATGACTTTAGATTCGTAATCAGCAACCCAGAAAATCCCCAGAAACCCAGTTACATAGAAATCTACCGATTTTTTTTAACTTTTCGTCCGCCATATTGGATCCGCCATTTTGAATTTTTGGTAAATGACTTTAGATATGTAATCAGCGACCCAGAAAACGCCAGGTAAATAAAGTAAATTAAGTAAATGACTTTAGATTCGTAATCAGCAACCCAGAAAATCCCCAGATACCCAGTTTCAAAGATGCATCAACGAGTATTTGTTTAAATAGTTTCGTCCAGCTAGATTTGCGATCCGAACCACTGTGCGATGTGTGTTAATCCCTTTCCATACTATACTAACGATATATTACAAGTCCCACTCCTCAATAGATATAAAATTCATATGACTGTCAACTTTTTCATATTCCATTTTATCGTTATTTCGATGCGTGCTTATTTTTTAAATTAAAATTTTTACAGAAAATTAAATAAATATTTTTGATTTCGAGCTGAAAGACATATAAAAGAAAGCACGGAACTTAAATTTAATAAGTTTTATGAGAAAAAATAATAATTACACATTTCTACCAAAAAATAGAAAATACTAGCGATGCATCCAGTTTTTTCAACAGACCTTTGACAAATAATGGCTGCATTTCTTTATTCATTCTAAACGTTTGGAATAAACTTATTTGTTTACTTATTCTTCAGAACGTTCCTGATGATATGTTAACGTGTATTTCAAACGCATTCTGTTTATTCTGGCTGTGAAATGGGATTATGGATCGAATAAAAAAACGCAGCCAATATTGATAGTTACATAACTCATACCTAATTAGAGGTTATCTTTTAACGAGCAAATAGTCGACTCTCTTTAACTATAGGCAGCTGTTAAACATTTCCGCTGGAAATACCTACTATTATCTTAATTTTTGACTCTAAATTATAAAAGAGGTGGACGTAGGGGGACAATCTTAACATAGCATCTCCACAGGCAAAAAATGTTGGGTATAATTTTTTGTTTGCCAGATATACGTTTTATCAATGCACTTGCGCAATATTCGCATTCGCAAAAGCTCCACATTGATTATTGCGAATGCGAAAGCGAATGCAAATGTTAAAATTTATGCGGAAGTTCCGCGGTTGCGAATGCGAATGCGAATATTCGCAACAACCCCGGTATGTAAATATGTAAATATCTATGTAGCTGTAAAAAGCTTCATATGAATTTTTTTAAAAATGCATTATGCACTTATTTTTCAACTAAAAAAGAAATTTTAAACTACAATCAACTACAAACGATTCTGGACCTGAATTCATTAAAATTGAAGCTGTAGCAGTAAAAAGCTTCATACGAATTTTTTAAAAAACTTACGCACTTATTTTTCAACTGCAAACAAAAAGAAACTTACTACAATACTCCAGAGAGTTAAATCTAGGTATTTTATCAAAATGCATTAAGGTCCGCTGCCAACTTCACGGAGCTGTAATTTTCACCATACCAAAAGGTTTGTGACAATTAAGGAGCCGCGGTTGTACTTTGATTTATATGTTTTTTTAGAAAAAAATACAAATCGCTGTAGATTTATTAGAAACTTTAAGATTGGCAATGGAAAATGCGCTTAAATATAGACGTAGTTTTTCATTTCTCGCTGTTTTTCCACCTCTAGCAACAATATGCCAGTACGCAAAATGTCCCGATCTCAAAAGATTTCCTCATATGTGTACAATTTCGATTTTTACCACTACTGTCGATTAGTAAATAGAATTTTTAAATTATATGTACATATTTTAAGAGTTCGGAATTATTTTACAACGAGATGTGGAGATTTTTCCTTGCCAAAAAGTAGGACATTTACCTTTCCGGCATGTGTAGTACTGGGACTATGCTCTTAAATCCGGGACAGTCCCGCCGAAAACGGGGCGGTTGGCTACCGTGCTTTGC